TAATAGTATGGCTGACGAATACCTTGGCATGCGTGTGGACGAGTCAGTCAAACCATCAACTCTGTAGCTAATAGCAAAACTAAGAGGATTTGAAGGTATATATATATATATATATTTATAGAAATATTGATTACAAGCCAAAAGACATAATTATGTCTATACGGGTCACTAGTCAGGCCTTAGCTGATATATTGTGTGCAGTTATATGAAAAAGGATATTGAATTACTAGAAAGGGCTTTATTCTGAAGGCAACAGAATGAGATGACACAAGCTTAAGCATGTGAACTAGGTTCCAGTTAAGACAGTTTTATTTTTCTAACAGAATGATTACTGTTTGGTATAAGTTGCTGTTGGCAGTTGTGGACACTAGCACTATAAAACAGTTAAACTGGGAAACATATGATTATTGAAGAATAAAGGGTGGCTTTAAATATCTGTAGGGTTATGTTATAATACTATCTATACTACTTAAATCACACTCAAGTGAACTCAGCAGTTTTGTTAACCCACTAGCATGTGGGAAACCTGGTCACATGATGTTTTACGGAACATCGCTGTTGTTATAGTATAAATACCACAGTATCATAGCATTTTCAGCTGAGGTCAAACTTGTTTGTTTGTTATTAAGAAAAGGTCGATTTCACACAGTCTACTTACATTTATCAGTTATATATATATATCTGTACATCATTAATTTTTATTTCAGGCTAGAATGGTCATTGGTGTGGTTTTAGGAATGATTAGTATATATATAGCTATGAAGGTTACCACTAGGAACAGGTGGACAGAATTCACAATAATCGGAGCTTCAGATGGACTATTAGGTAAATTTGTTGATTTTCTGCTTTTTTGATAACTAAGTTTTTTAACTATGTTTATCATATCATCATTAGTGAATGGTATCTCTAGTGTAACTTTTTTATAATTGTTTTGTATTGTTATTCGGTCTAGAGAGGGGGGTAGTGCTCTAATCAAGTGTGTGTGTTAATATACAAAATTCATCTTTCTTGTATTGAAAATATATGTAGGTATGATTAGGATTCAATAGCTGTTACTGTCATTAGAGATGTATTTCATTGTAATTACCTGAAACAATGGGAACACCGTGTGAAACAAAATAAGGTTATTGCAGTGGCAGTTGTTTGAATTAGGTAATATACTGTTAGTTCTTAAACCTATTTTGGAAACATAGTAATAGAAATAGGAAAACCAGTTGTTTTACTATTATCCTTTGCAACAACTTACAAATTGGAAGATGATAAACATTTCCAATTACCATTTGATGTTTCACGGTCACCAAAATAAGTAAAATGGAACTATTGTTACATTTATGTGATGCAAAATAAAGGATGTATTTCTTTCAACTCAATTGGCAAGAAAAGTTCTAAAACTATAGTCAAAAAAGAAGTGGGGATAGAGCCAACAATAGTCAGCTGTGTGAGGATGTTATAATTTGTAATTTAGCATGGAATTTCTTTGCTCAATTTCTTTGTAGCTTTTTTCTTCCTGTAATGTTAGTAGTTTGGTTCTTCATCTTCTTTATGAGACTTCTTATTGGCTGCTCAATCTCTTTGTAGCTTTCTTCTTCCTGTAATGTTAGTAGTTTGGTTCTTCATCTTTTTTATAAGACTTCTTATTGGCTGCTCAATCTCTTTGTAGCTCTCATCTTCCTGTAATGTTAGTAGTTTGGTTCTTCATCTTCTTTAGGAGACTTCTTATTGGCTGCTCAATCTCTTTGTAGCTTTCTTCTCCCTTTAACCTTATTGCTCCATGCACCCTTTACTGTAGGTTACAGATATTGTCCCATTCTTATGGTTTAGCTGAGGCAATGCCACAACCCCTTAATGCAGGGTTCAGTTTGTTGTACTTTTTGCTCCTAAGGTGGTTTTGACAGTTTGTCCGGTATCAGCTGAAAGCTAACTTCCTCTTTGTAATTCCAGTTGCTTGATGTATAACAATGTTTACTTACAGTTGGGGTTGTTGAGTATATATAGCATGGTTTACATGCCCTAGTCACTATGTTTATGTTACAATGCAACTTTTTTGATCCTCAACCTCCTAATGCCGAGGACACGTTATGGAACCTCGTTTGTCTGGTTGAGGTTGTGTATGTATGTAGCTAATTGTGTTTACATTTGACTATGGATTGCATCTCTAAGAACCAACTGCATTTTTGCACATCCTCCTAATGCTGAGAATGAGTGATGGAACCTCATCTGTTCGATTACGTTGTGTATGTACATAGCTAATTCTGTTTATATTTTCCTACAGATTGCACCTCTCAGAATTAATTGCATTTATGCACATCCTTTTTTTTTCCTGCCGGTATCAGATTCATTTCCTACCTCAAGGGTGAAGATCATACCTTTTCTAGAAGTAGTGCAGTACCCCACAAGTGTGCTTGCTTTTTATCTCAGAGCATACCCGTTCATTCTGGGCAGTCGCTTTCTGCTTGGTTTCTATGTTGTGCACCTAAACCAGCCCCTCCACCATTTCAATGTGGGATTCTAGCTTAGTGCGAGAAGAGGTAAGACTGTATCCGAAGTTAACATTTTTCTTACACTGAAAATGTATTTCTGATAGATACTTACCTCCTTTCACACACTTCCCACCCTTCCTCCCCACAGCTGGTGTTCTTCTTTTAGAGCCTGTCAATACTCAAAAGTGAGGATTGATCAGGAATTGCAGAGGGAGCTAGCTATGCCAATATAGATGGCACAATACTATTGGTGGAGAGTAGTCACATGATATGTACATATTCAGAAATGGTGTAAAATGTATGGGGTTTATAAGCTGGTGTGCTGATCGTGAAAAGTTTTTAGCAATGTCTAGAGGGCAGAAATGCTTAGTGTGAGTGAAGATAAGTGCTTATCGGATATACATTTTCATCAGTGTAAGAAACATTTTAATGCCTAGCTTTTTAATCTTCTTAATAAAATGTTTTGGCAGCTGCTTCTTTATGTATGATGTTCTTCTTTTTCCTTTTTCAATATCTGTGATTCCTTCTTGGATCATAATCATGTTTATAAAACCTTCTATGTCTTTTATTCTCTGTACATGGCTTGATTAATTTTTTAAACATTATGATATCATCTTTGTTTCAAGTTTCTTTATAAGGCCATCTTGTGATTACTTCTTCTAGTCTTTTATTATAAGACTTTTTCTATTGGTTCTTCAAACTCTGTGGAGTTTTGATTAGTTCTTCAACTATTATGATATCTTGTGATTGGTCCATGTTTACTTCTTTTATGTTTCAGTATCATATATTTTCTGGTTCTATGTACTTTAACCAATCATATTACTATTGTTTAACTTCACACAAAATAGGTGTGCAGTTTCTATTAATTTTTTTTTTTTTTCTAGAAATGTATAAGAAACTATGTTATTTTCTGATGCTATTAAAGCTGGACTTTGAAGCAGGAGTAAGTTGTTACATAATTCAAAATTAGCAATTAATAGCTTACTTTTGTAGAAGTTAAATATTATAATGAGAAGAAAAGTAAGTTTAGTAAGTTTTAAACAAGACCTGTATATTCTTTGAGAACCAGTGTAATTTTTTGTACTTAAATGTACCGAATAAGCATATGTGCAGGGGCATATTAACTAATAAGCTTTCAAGGCTTGGGCCTAAAGTGCCAATTAACTTTAATATGTCCATATGTGTAGATTTACTTTTATTAAATTAAATATGTTTTATCCTTTCATGAAACTAGCTCTTCAGATTTGTTTTACTTACTAGAGGCCTGTACTGTGGGAGCAAGTGTTATAAGATATTATGCCCTGTACTATGGCAGTTAGAAGTGAAGTATTGAAATCAGTAGTGGGTTACAATACAATTGGAAATAGCTACAAGTACTGTTATTACCACACTTATGATTCTGCAGTGTTGTTTTAATGGTTGTACATGCCACACACACACATTTAAATACATCATTCATTATAGACCATTTCTGAAAAGTGTACATTTGGTGATGAATTGATTTTATTTGTTTAGATTCTCCTTGGAATTTTCAGTTTGACAGAAGCCCTGGAAAATAAATTACATAATATTCTTCTCCTCACTGGGATCTTAGTTTATTCACTGGCCATATGTATCATTGGTAGTATTGCTGTAAGTATACAAATTCCTAAGATGAAACTTCTACATAGGGTTGGTTGAGTACATTGTATTAAAATGATTTTGAATATGCAGATCTGTAAGTGACATGATAACCACAGATGATATATAGTCACAGTGGAGCAGATTGTATCAGAACTACATTTTGAACTTGTTTGGCATTTCATAGGTAGTGTGATGCTACCAAGTAATGGTTGCATTTGTAAAGGATGTGTAACAGCCCTTTCCATTGCAAAATATTCCTACACTCAAATCATAAAGATATGTTCATGTCAAGGATTTAGAACTTCCAAGATGGTATGTCTCTTGTACTTAATGCCACTGGAAAATAAAGAAATGTGAATCACCAGAGCAGTATAGAAATAGATCGGAAACCAGTTGTTCCCAAGCCATGGTAGCATCTTGCACCAGATGAGAATCCTGAAACACAAAGGTCAGTGGTAAAAGCTGTACACATGCCCCAGGGAATAGTATGTAACATAATCAAGAAGGATCTCTGTCTGAAAAAATGACACAAGGCACCTTCAAGATTCATTGTTCAACTGTTGCATATTTCAAGCAGCTGAAGATTGGAATGTATGTTCATACTATTCCATATGAAGACATACTAGTGAAGTTGCTAGATGCAGCACCTATGGATTCCTGTGATTGGACTGTTGTATAGTAGAGGTGTTATGGAAACCATGAAGGGAGGATTGGTGTGCTTTGAACATGACAACTTTATGTCAGACCCTTTTTGCAATGGAATCTTTGCTGCCGGGCTTTTGTCAAGATGTCTGCATAGTATGGCCAGATGTGGTAACATGAACTAAAGCCTTGGTGAAGCTCTAAAATAATTTTAATATAATGTACTCAACCTTTTTATTTATGTTATTATGTTACGATTATATACATTATATTTTATGGTTGCAGGTATTATATATATAATAAAATGTATAAACTTTATGCTTTAATAGGTTAATGTTAACCATCAAGCAGAATACATGGGTTCAAATATTAGTCTGGTTATTGCCTCATAACTCACAACTGCATATCTTTGGTAGTTCATGAGGTTATTTGTTACATGTTAAAGTTTCTTCTGAGATATCATTATCTGATTATGTCAAGATATTTATATAATCATTTTAAATAATGCAACCACATTGGCTTTTTAATCTTCAGTGATAGTAAGTGCTTAAATTGTTTTGTACTTCTCACAGCTGGGGTACGACATGTGGAAAGTGTTTTTCTAGATGGTCATGATGTCCCAAGTTGATCTTGTAATGGTTCAACTCAAGTATCTTTAATTTGTGTACTTAAAACCATTTCACAAAAGACCAAATTTTTTTATTCTTAAGCTTGTTTAAAAGTAGTAGTTTACTTTTTTGTTAGGCAAATTTTGTAAAAATTGATATTAAAGATTTTTATTTTCTTATTCAAAGGTTAAGAAGGAGTTAAAGGCTCTGGTTTTCCTTTTTATTGTACTGAGTTTTGTTCTTCCTGTCTGGGTTCCTTTTCAGGTAAGTCAATTTTGTTTTTCTGAAAACTTGTTCTCTTTACCTTAGTGTTATTATTTATCTTACTGAAAATTTTAACCGATGATGAGTTAGAGTTCAGTATCGGTTTCTTAGTCACCAGAGTTTATTTTATTCTAACATTTTATCTGTTGTTGGAACTAGATATTAGGGAAACATTCTTTTCGTCATCAGTTCCATGACTTTCCTAATCTAGATGCTTGAAAATGTTTGAAGAATTGCTAGCACTAAACTTAGTTGTTGTTTTATATGCTGCACCAAATGATGCATGGTTGAGCCCACATTATCGCTTCTGCATCAAGAACAAACATGTTGATAATCAACGTAGGAGTGTTGAAGTTTATTAATTCTATTATTTATCTTGAAAAAATTTTCAATTTTGATTTGAAGGCTATACACACTTAAATTTGTGGATAGTTTGATTTGAAGATATATTTCATTTTATTTCTCAGAACATAACTGGTTTTACCCATAAATGGAAGACTGAAATAAAATGGAAATTTGGATAAATCAAAACCCACTTTTTGACAGGTGTACACTCCATTTTAAAAATATTCTAAACTATTGTCAAGTAATGAAAAATAAAAACAATTTTTTAACAAAACATTTTCCATACCTTCTATTTCTTTGAAAATAATGATAGTCACTGGCAATACGATAAGCACTATAAAATAAGTACTTATCAAATTATCTTTATATATATAACAACTGTAAAACTGTCAACATGACTTTACAATCCTGTATTCTTTGGTTTATGATACATTCTTATTTCTAGGTCTAGAAATGACAAATTTAAATAATTTTCTTCATCAACTGTAAACTTAATATGGAATCTTTTTTCAGTCATCATTGTAAAAATAGTTAATAGGGTGTGATAGTCTTCACAAAATTATTAAAGTGTTATATATATACACACACAAACACACACACATATATATATATATATAAAACATGTAGCTGGTGTGGAGAATGAACTAATGTATGCTATTTAACAAAATAATGTTATACTGTTTTTCCTTAATTTTGTATTTATGTTTAAAGTATGTAACATAAATTATTCCTCCATTATGGATTTCCTAAGGAAGAGATATAATAATTATAGTTTATAAACTGGGAAAAAGCCTATGTTAAGATACAAAAGAATAGGTTACATCCTGAGTTTCTAAATGAATATATAGGATTGAAACTGACACAAAAGTTTCTTCTATTTACTTAACAGTAAATATAATTATTGTAAAGTGTTGCAGAAACTTCTGAATAATGAAGTAAAAATAGACAAAAAGAAGTTTTAGTTTCCTCCGAAGAAAATTGCATATTTTAATATTGTGATTGTACTTTTCTCACTGTAAAATGTATAAAAAACAACAATTAATAAGGAACATTAACATTTTCTTATACTGAAAATGTGTCTCTGATAGGTACTTACCTCCTCTCACCCCAAGCTGATCTCAATCTTGATTTACCCTTTCAGCATTGCTATGATATTTTTTTGCCCAGCACACCAATCTTTTATAACCCATTAGTTTCATGCCCTTTCAGAACATATGCTGATCATGTGACTACCTTCCATCAATCCTACTGTGCCATCTCTACTAGCATAGCTAGCTCCCTCTACTATTCTAGCACAGTCTCACTTTCAAGAATTGCCATTTAAAAACAAGAAACACTGGCAAATCAGTAGGAAGGAAGAGTGGGAGGTGAGTGAAAGAAGGTAAGTACCTATCAGAAATACATTTTCAGTATAAGAAAAATGTTAACTTCCAAAATCAAGGCTAGGATTCCACATTGCAAAGGTGGAGGGGCTGGTGAAGGTGCAACAAAACAAAATCAAGCAGAAAGCGAATGCACTGAAAGAATAGGTGAGCAAGAATATGAATAAAAGTCACACCTGTGGGGTGTAGCATTACTTCTGAAACTGGTATGCTCTTTGCCCAACAAAAGAACACAGTAACACAAAAAAGGGCAGAACTGAATAGGCTGGCACCTATTTACACTCAGGAAAAAGACACACACAGCACTGAATTAGTATAGAAGTGCTGGAGAACCTGAAGCATTATGACGTTTAAAAACATGAAAAAGTTTGTGTGGAAACAATAATGAGCAGTCCATCCAGGCAAAACCATCCAGTGGAAATGCTTTGTATAAGATTTGTAATCAACAAGCGCCTTGGATATAAAATATTATGGCCAAGTGCAGTCTGACCAGGCAGAAAATATCAAGGAGAAACACCCTGGATTACAATTGATTATGTCAAGTGCAGTCCATCCAAGCAGAAAACATTAGTGGAAGTGCCTTGCTTAAAAATTTTGTGATCAACAAGTGTGATCAGCCCAGGCAAAAACATCCAGGGGAAGTGCCTTGGATCCTGATTTGTTTGTTATAGTATACTCATTGTTCAGTATCGCAATGAGTATAATGGCAATAGCCCACTCAAGAGGAAACCTCTGCAGTACACCACTCCAGCAACTGGGAACTGGAGATGGCAAGGTCTCCCATACTCCACTAAAAGAGAAGAGGTGGGGGGATGCATGTTGGGGAGTCCGGAGGAACAACACACTAGAAGCAATGCAATGGGTGTCTGTGATTCCCTATTTTGAAAAGCAGAAAGGGATGGGCAAAAATCGCTATTTGCTTTACTCATGAAGTCCATGAGTGATGGATCTGGTATATATATATATATATATATATGAGACAGCGAAAAAAAACATATATATACCACCAGAAAAGTGTCTGGTGGTCTTGCAGAAACAACCCATCTCAATGGAGAGTATTAGATAATGATACAGAGTTAATACACACATAATATTAAGCATATCTGACCAGGCAACACCCACCACCAGGTGAGATCATGAAATATGATATACATCAACTAAAGGAAATATGGAATAAAAAAATATGTCAACTTACACCAGTCAAAGGTGAACAGACATGTATAGAATCACCACAGGAGGAAGAAAATAACCGACCGAGGAAGACACAGCTAGGTCGTGCTAATAATGTGTGACAAATTTATTGGTAGTTGTCCACAAACTTGCCTGAACGATCTCCTCCAATGGTCGGCAGACTTGAGCAGCAAAAAACATAGTTAGATGATGAACTTGGTGCAAAGAAACATCACACAGACAAAGACGCCCCCTGGAATATGCCAGTTGTATGAGTTGAGGAATCCAACCAGTGAGGGCAATAGGCGACAGATCACAGGAAACAGAAGAATTTCAGGGAACAACTAGATGGGAATGAGAGCCATGAAAGGAGGTTGTACGAGCCACATAACTTTGCAGGGAACAAACTGGACAAAGAAGATGAACCAGATCCAAATAGCAGTACAGGTAGAAAATGGAAGGTAAGAAAATAGGAGGAAAGGCTAAAACAACAGCCCCAGGCAGAAGAAGTCTTGGAAAGGAAAACTCAATCTGGAGAGAGGATAACATACATGGAATGGTAAAGGATGTGGAAAACATAAATGGCAGAAATATTGGAACAACAGCAACCACATGCCAGGAGAAGGAGGAAATAGATCTAAAGGGAAAGATGGTACAAGGAACAGGTTGTAATGGGTATAAAGGGAGAAACGAACAGATCTCAATCTGGCAGAAAAAAGGGATGTGGCAGATGGATCAGACAAAAGGAACAGAAAGGAAGGGAAAAACAGGGAGGAGAATTCGGAAATGAGAGAAACGGAAGGTGTTTGACAGGGCAGCCTTATAATGTGCAACAGTTGACACAGACAAGTCCCGATCAAACAACCAGGTGAGGAACTGGGACAGATGAGGAACAGAAGGATAGGATGGGGGGGAAGCCACAATAAATGGACCAAAGACCAAAGGAAGACCAAAGCCTTTGGAACACAGACAAGGAGGAAGGTCAAATGTTACAAAAAAGGAAAGACATTACATGAGGGGTGAGCCCCTAAACTGAGGTTAGGGATTGGACAGAAAAAACCATGTGTGAAATTGGAGTTAGGTGACATCAGAGTAAACAAAGTCCAATCAGGGTAGTCAAATGAGAGACTGTCACTCCAGCAAGGGCCAGAGCAGAGGGAACCATTTCTGAGCAGGCCAAAATGGAGCAACAAGCAGGAAACAACAAGAAGTGGTCTGGATAAGGGAAAAGACACTGGAATGTAGTCTGATTGGAGGGTAGGTATATAAGGAAAGACCCCTCCAAGCCAGACTGAATGCACCTACTCCAAGGACAGTAAGGTGTGGAACCAAAGACCAAAAGAAAGGAATTTTACCATTCCAGTCAGTAGCAAACACATGTATATAGTTTCCCAGTTGAGAGAAATATCAATGTAAGAAGGGACCAATTGAAGGGGAGAATCTGGTTGGTTTGAGATAAGTGATCGGCCACCAGATACATATCACTGGGAATGTGACACACCAAGATCGCCATTTAGAGTTCATGGGCCCACTAAAGAAGGTACAGAGTCTGGATTAGTTTCCCCCATGTTTAGTGATATAACTGACAACAGTGGAATAGACAGAGAAAACCATAACCACCCACCCCTCAGGAGAGGGATGAAATGATACAGAGCCCAACAACTGCCAAAAGTTCCAGGATATTGAAAATGGAGAATAGCCTCTACGAATGACCATTGATGGAGACAGGTTTATGACAGGTCTCCAAATTCCTGTATTTTGAGGGACAACAATTAAGATGGGAGTAAAACTCCGGGCAAGTGGGTACTATCTGATCAACAGCCCCTTTGTGTTGTAAGTCTTGAATAGACCAGGCAAGATGACTGGAAGAGGTATGATTCTGAGAAGGAGGGAAGTGGATTGGGGGGAGGGTCAGAAAACTCAAGACAAAACCTTCAGTTAGAACCCATAAAATCCACAAAACTGTCGTGAAGTTTAAACAAAAAGACACAAACTAAACACACATAGAGAAAGCACTCCTTACAAATGACAACAAAAACCTAGAAATTAGTAGAGTCTAGAAAGAACATAAAAAAAACCTGTAAAACTATGAAACTGGACCTA